CTAGATATGTATTGTCTTGTTCAATGCTAGCGGAGGGTGTGGTTTTTTTTCAGGGGCGAGGGGGGGGAACGAGGTGCAATAGTTAAGACTAGGCCGGCTCTTCTCTGCTCGTCTGCGATCTCTAAATTTGTTCACGGAGAATTATTGAGCGCACTCTTTCACGCAGATGATTATAAATTTTAAGGGTGGGGAGGGGGGGGGGGGTAGCGGCTCATGGTCTGTCTCGCGATCGCCAGGCGGGTGTGGTTGGAAGAAAAGTGATCGCCTCCCGCCCCTACTTCCTCAGCTACACCGCCGCCTAACCACCTTTTTAAGGTTATTTGTTGCTAGCTTTATTCAGCACATCGGATTAGATTGAGATAGGCAACGCCTCCTGAAATTGTTGGGGGATGATGACTTGATCGGCGTTATCGTAACTGGGGAGGTAGGGGGATGGACAAAAGCGCTTAACAGCGCCCCTGTTTCTATGTCTCCTTCCCCCAACCATTGCTTAGTCTAAGAGCGCTAATGATCTGAGTAGCGACGGACTGTGTGGCAGAGCAGACAGTTTCTGCGCAATTCCGACCGTCTGCTCCATGCCTAAGACCTGATTAGAGGAAGGGACGCAGAGGCGCTTGTCCCCCCCCAAAAAAAAGAATTTTGACGCCCTAATTTCACTAACTTTTAATTAATAGAAGGGTTTATAGAAGAAGCGACAGCTTACTGAATTGGAAAGATTGTGCACTTCGATTGAACGTCAGTTGGCTGAGCAGCACTGAAATCAAAATGGGTATGTCCCCCTTGAGAAGGTTGAAAAGAGGTCTGAATATATATCAAGTCCCCGTTTCAGTAGACACTCGTACTGGTAAAAGTAGTGTTCGGCGGTCTCGATCGCAGGAAGACCTCGATCAAGATGTAGACGGTCAGGATCCAAACCTAGAAATGCAAAGCGATTCCGATTTCGATGCACCAATAGAGATTTCGTCGAAACCTGCTCCTGATATCAAGCTGCTAGAGGATGAACCGGAGCTTAGTCTTTTTGAGCAGGTACGCTAAAAGTCATTTTTCTTTCTTATATAGCGTAAGATGATTTCAAGGCGAATTTTAGTACCAGAAAAAGAAAAAGGAGGCAGAAGAACAACGACAAGAAAAAGCACAAACTAAAAGGCGTAAACGTGTGAAGAAAGTCAATCGAGGAGAGTTCCTCGTCAAAGCAAAGTACGTTTTATTGTCGAAGACTTTATCTGGCCATGGCTTTTTCTCTTTTGACACCTTTCTGCTTTATTAGTCTTGAAATCGAGGCTTGGACAGCAGCCTCGATATCAAGACTAATAAAGCAGAAAGGGTACAGCATCGTTGTGTGGAACACATGGGGGGTCGTACTTTATCCGCTGGGGAGGGGGTCGTATTTGTTCGTTGGAAGATGGGGGTCGTATGTACGTTTGAGAGAAATTTGCTGCGTTGGGAAGAAATTTTTCCTTATTCCTGTTTCATGTGTAGTATTTATGGTTCATGTGTAGTATTTACCCCCCTCCATGCCTCCTGCTCGACGGAAAGCTTTTGGGAGGAAAAAACTGGACTGGAAAGTGTGGGAAATTGGTAGGTAGGTGTTGGGGAAGAGGGGGGGGGTCGTAACGAGACCCTCCCATTTAAGTGGGGGGGGGGGGGTCGTACTGACACCCTCTCTCGAAGGGGGGGGGTCGTAATTACACTACCATTTCACACATCACGATGCTGTACCCTGGTTGTCCGAGCCTCGAGACTAGGCTAATAAGCATTACGGTAATGTACATGCAGTGATAAGATCTTTCACTTGTTTATTGTACTTACCAATGACACGCAGGATTTTTGGTCAGTGGCCTTCATATGATCCCTTGGGCTAAAGGTCTTGCCTAAATGCTAAACCCTGAAGTGCTCTTAGCACTGCGCTTCGCATAATTATGTGGCTATCTCACATTTTTCAGTGCTTTTTAATCAGCAAAGATGGTTAGTATGTAATTTGTTCAATGGACATTCTTTAGGAAAGCGCAGTTCAAAGTTATGACGCTGAATGAAGGTGTGAACAAATCGCTGGAGCCCAGTGTTAATTTCCGGGAGGAACTGCTGAAAGCACGCACGGCTGGGAGAAGAGAAAAGGGTAGTTCTTGGGTTTTTATGATAGATTTAGAGAAGAAAATGAAAAAAAGGAAAAGCCATAAACCTTGTAATCTTGACCACATGTACAGTCCTTCTAGAGTATTTAACATTGAAGTGTACTTTGTCAAATTAGAAAACCTTCAATATCTGAGCAGTGATGTAGTTGGGATCTTGTGCTCAGAAAGCGTTCTATCGTTGGGATAAATTTAGCAACGTACCACCACTCACTATCGCCCTACTGAAAGCCATCCTCCGTGTTTGTGGCTGCCCCCCCTTCCCTTCCGTTTTTCATCCTATCTACCATCTTAGTAAACTTTTCCAACATTATGTGCCAGTTTTGCCCCGAAAAATATTGCCGAGAGGGGAGGAGGGGTGTATAGCGCTAGACGAAGAAAAGTCAATAACTAAACATTTCTCCAAAAGCACAGTCGGTGTAAAAGCTTGGAAGTGTAGCGTTGAGAGGGTAATGTTGGTCCCACGAAGCGAGCTCTGCACTGGTTTGCGGCAAAAATTGTAAAGGGAGGGGGCGCTTAATAGCCTCTATATAAGTTTGAAGTGACGCCTCAATATTTTTCTACTTGACTGCGCTTCAAAAAGCGTGCGATTCAGAATTAGGCTGTAGGAACGGAAAAGCATGAATCGCCATTTGTATGCGCGTAGAGGTTCTTATTGGGGAACCAGGTGTGGAGTGACGTTTCAGTGCAGCGAACATAGACTGGGACTAAATGGGTCCTATTCTGGGGCAAGTGCAGTTTTCGTGCTATTTTTTCTTCACTATCTGAGTTACTGAGGGCATCTCTCTTATCCACTAATCTGTGATGGCGATGTTGATCACGTCGCTGACTTTGCTTTAAAAGCTGAAACGAAGTTGCTCACTCACGCATCTCAATGCATCGACGTGGCCGCGTCGTGCCACTGTGCGCGCTCCTCGTCGAGATTTGTGTTAGCGAACAGTTCGCGCATCAAATATATTGTAGTTCTCTGCGGACGGTGGGGCGTGTCAGGCAGGATGAGTTTGGCACGGTGCCAGACCTGTTCTCCACAAGCTGTTAAAGCGAGCAAGTGACAAGGGCTGTATATGTCGCTTGTACCTCGTTTCCCGTACACCTTTTGTCCGCGAACTGGCTCAACAACCGGCAGAGAAGGTTTTCTAACGTGGCGCACTATACTGCCTGACACCGCCGCCGTCCGCAGCGAACTGCACTTAAATATGCTAGTAGTGGAACGTAATGCTGCTCTTTTTTTTCAAGTATCAAATGCCGTCCGTTAGCTGCGCAATGTGATAAGAAGTCTGATATGATTTGATAATGGGCATCATCAGTTGATCTGTTTCATTTCATTCCTGCTGGTTGTTTGTTTGATGTTGTATGATTGATTCCATCTCCCGGGGTAGGCCTTCTTACTCTATATGGAAGTGGCGGCATTTGCGGCTTTGGAGAGATATTGCCATCTTGGCGCGTCTTTCGCAGTCGTCGTGTTATCACAATCGCAAGGCACGTGAAAATCACATTATCTTAGATAGAATAATCGTATGAAAACGCGCTCTATATTGTGTGTCAGATGGAGGCCGCAGCCACGTCCACCTCCTTTCTCCTTGGGGGATATGGAAGTTATTGTAGAGCTAACTTCGTTGTAAACGTCAAGTAGACTGGTTTTAGAGCTAACTTTTCGCTGTTGTTTGAAATCGCACAGCACTCAAATGCAGGGGCTTGTTGGTTTTGTTCGTTGCTCACTGTTCTGAGTACTTTAGCTTTCAGTGTTTTGCAAGCTTCCGGTCGTTGAAGTTATATCCTGCCTCTCGCTATTTGCCTTGAAATGTCCTTTTTAGGGCCGTTTCTGTTTCCTTTCATAGTTGTCATTTCTGTCGTCAATGGGCTGAGGAGACACAGCCCACTTGATGGTAATGGCGCGAGACTTGGAGAGGGATGGTCCTATTCAATTATACTATTCTCTTGTTCGCCTCTCCCAGTTCTCCTCATCCAGGGCTCATTTCCTAACTTTCGTCGAAAACAGAAAAGGGGTGGATTTTCGGCGTCGACATGGAACTAGGTCCACCTTTCGTGTCTGGGTCCTCGCAGATATGTTCTGCTCGTGACTTTCCCCTATTTCTACCTCCAAACACCCCTTAATGTAAGGATTGAATTCTCGAGTAGATATCAACGCTAATGAGGATTCGTCCTTGAAGTTACTGTGGCTAGATAATAATTGTGGTAGATGTCTCTGGGAAATTCGTCACGCCCCTCTCCTGAAGCAGGACAACTTCGCCTGGATTCAGGCGTACTGTTTTGTACGAGGATTGTATCTGCGCCTGTGCTGAAGATTATTCATAAATAATAAAGTCTATTTCTTCCACATTTCTTGCAACATATCAAAATGAGTATCAGAATCCCGTTCCATCTGTTTACTTGGCCGTGATACGATCACCGTGTGATCAGGAATGAGGCGATCTTCCGATGGTGGTGCAGGTCGATCATTGAACAAGCATGGTAATGCTCGCCCTAGATTTTTTTATTTCAGCGGGTCATGAGAGAAGAAAAGTGGGCGCTGTTCGGCTTGGAAGGGGCATATTGCACTTTCGCTAGTTCCTCTTGTTGATTCATGTTAACTAGAATGTCCCTTTGGTCATAGCTATAAACTCCTGTGAAACTGTGAAATGGTTCAAGTGACGATTCTGTTCACAGAATCTACACGTTCTTTCTTCAAGAAGGTGGCCTTAGTAGGCTTCCGTGAGTAACAATCCGTGCCCCCACAAACCGAACTGCGCCGAAAAATGTGACTCGCTTACCTTGATGCTTGCCATAATTGTTTATTCCTTACAATGGCCACAAATGGAAAAACAACAGCGTAGACCGGTACAACAAGTAAGACTAATTCGGAGAACGGTGCGAACCGGACGACCATACGCTCTTCGGCAGCTCTTAAAAAGTTACATATAAGTCTGATTACAGTATGCTTGTAGGAAGTATGTAAGTACTTGTTGAAAAGCTGGGCTGTATCGTATGTGAACAACTAACAGAGGCTCAATGTCAGGTGTAAAGGTGGAAGGTTGCCACGATGTAGCCATTGGGGCGAGCCAGTGTACGCCTTTCTCAGCTCTCTCTCTTTACTGTTTGAGAGAGGAGCATTAAATAAGGAAGGTTCGGAGGTAGCCCTCCCTTCAGCGCCCTCCTTCATCGAGACCGAACGAAAATAGGACTCTACGAACCATAACGTGTACCTGACTCCGCCCATGATGTCAAAAAAAGTGCACCTCTAGGTCTCGCCCACGTTCGCTGGACCTATTTTCACGCTGTTTGTGCGCAAAAGTGCGACCTTTATCTCTAAGCGAAGGTTCTGGTCTCTCAAGCACTTAGTTCCAAGTAGGCGAAGTGAGGGGGGGGGGCGAATTGGAGCGCAGCCAGGGCAGCCATTTCCCCCACTTTTTGCGGGATGAGAATGATATTATTGGTGGAAAAGACCTGCTCAATCCGCTCCAAACTCCCCTCCCCGCGTGAGAATACACAGCCATCGCTGAGCCCAAAACAGTGCACTTGGAGAGAACACCAAGGTGGACCCTACATCTCCCAACTGACTTTTAACTGTGTTTTGATGGAAGACCAATAATTCTGGTATGAGGAGATGAAAAGAAGAGGGCGAGTATGGTAGGGAAATCACACTTGATCACTTGAATACATAATTTTGTACTTGCCTAGATAGAATGCTAGCAGGGCGCTATATAGTGGGAAAATGGTGAAAGAACGAGTGAAACGGTCAAAAACCTGCGAAGAAAAAGCCTTCGTTCCTATAACTTAAAAATCAACTTCGGACGAGTTTACCTTGGGTTTCTTGCCAATCTGCTACCGTAGATAGGGCATTTCAACGGCCCACAGGTATTGTCATGGTGCAGTCTCTTTCCCAACACTCATTGAAAGCACTCAAGCCGTAACGAATCAATGGCCATCGGGACTTGCCAGCTTCGGCGAAAACTTCGTCATGGCACGCCCGACTAACTTCAGTGGTAACGCCTGCAGCACTACACAACCGGACGCAGTCTCTTTCAGATCCATGTCCATCTCTTTTTCGTGTGAAAGTGGCCAAATTTTCTTTTAGGGGCAATGAGGAAAAAAAACCCTTTAAATGAATGATTCAACCTACCTGTACACAATGGCAAAAACAAGCAATGACACCAAGCCAATCATTCCGAGCACTGCATGCACGGTGACGGATGGGATCAAAATCCTCATTATCCGAACATTTTCCTGGAATAAACTGTTTTAGGACCTATGGACTAGTGGAAGATAAAAGTGCTGAAAAAAATTATAAAAATAACGAAGAATATGGATGCTGTTCCTATACATTACTTGGATTTGAGTGAATAAATAAATGGATGGTCAGCTGGATGGGCTATCCGATTTATTCGATATGTCGCAACTATTCGTTTTGCCCTCGAAACATAGAACCGCTCCGAATGAATTTCGCTTTCTGAGCCAGTTCTTGTGAAATCAGTGCACTTTAGGGTCAGAGCTTAAAAGATTACTGGTGCGTATTTTGACTATCTATGACTTTCGGAGCCACTTGATACCAGTACTGCAGATAGTGGATATGGGATGTAGGAGCGCTCGGTTGTTCGGTTGTTCTGTACGGGAATTATTCCCGGGCCTGTCGTATGTGTTTCGTCTGAGAAAGTCGTAAAAAGGCTAGAATTGCCTAGGTCCTAACTTGTGGCACTGGCACGGGTACTTTCACCTAGTTACCACACTCCCCCCCCTGTCCCCTAGCAGAGCAGACGTTAGCTCCTTTTACCACTTGTCTTCTTTCTCATTTGCTAAACGAGTGCCTCTAGCCAGATTGAAGTTGAATTTGGCCATCAATTGGTGATTCGGGACGTGTTTCTTGATTCCATAGAAGCAATCAGTCCCCGACATAAATGAGGACTATTTTGCTCCATTACGCGGCATTTGCCGCCACCACAACTTTCAGCTTTTGACAAACAAAAGTCCAACATGACTATGGTGCCGTGTTCGCTATGTTCTCTGATTAATCGCGCTTGTTTTGCTTGTGCCCCCTCCCCCGCCATGCCACAAAGGATCTCTTCCAGGAATGGACCATGCATCAGACTGCACCGCCGCAGCAATCGTTGAGGTCTTTTAATGGATATTTAGCCTAAACAGTAGTTTTCAGTGCTATCTGAGGCATGATGCAGTGTCGGCACTCTGTCCGAATGGTGGTATAAAGATGAGAAAGGGGTATGTGACAAGGCATCGTAATTCGCCGCGCTGGTGGGCGGGGTCAGCGATGTCGTCGGCCGCGCGCGGCAAGAGTTCGTAACTTTTGTTCTAGTGTAAACATAGTGTCTTTAGCGGTGAGGTGAAGGTGGAAGGGGGAGTTAGCACATATATCTATTGTTCCAAGCTATAGAAGCCATGGCAGCTGCAGTCCAAGCCGGTATACGATCCAAGGCCCGTACCTGTTGAAGGAGCCGAATGCCTTGCTTCTGCGTTCAGCGGCACGTTTTCGCAATAAGCTGGAGCAGCTTCAGTTCTAAAACCCCCGAAAAAGTAATAGCGTGCATGGGAAACAGATCCGTGAGTTTTAGAGCACATAACATGTATTGGGTTTTTTTGGTGATGAATCGCTGGACCCTTAAGCCAACGAAAAAACGTGGGTGGCAATAAGGCTAAAAACGAGCGGTGGCTTAAAGTATAAGAGCAGTAAAATAAGTACATAAATCATGGAGACTGATGTTAGGAAAAGCCTCTTTACTCATGAATGCTAATGACATACCCTAACGGCATAGATTCTTCTTGTCTTCACAAAAAACGGCGGGCATTATAGTGTTTGGATCGCTCGTAATCCCCCTTTCCTGGGTAATATCGTTTGTTCCCAGAGCATTTGGGCTTACGGAAAACAATGCTGTCGTTATTGCACAACTTCTTTATACCAGCGATTGGCCTAGGATTACATCAGTGCCCGAAGATTAATCTGATTCGTTCCTTCCCAATCCTGAATCACTCATTCCTAGCAGAGGAAGTCCTTTGCAACTGACTACTCCTGCAGCCAGTGTACAGCATCGATGTGTGAAATGGTGGTGTTTGTACGACCCCGCCCCTCCTAGAAGGAGGATCGCGGTACGACTCACCACCTGAAACGACCCCCTCCCTTCCCCAACACCTACCTACCACTTTCCTACAAGTTCCCTATCAGCTTTCCTGAACTTCCCACATTTTCCAGTTTTTCACCCGAAAATTCTGCTGTCGGGCAGGTGGGGGGGGGGTATATAGCCTGTGAAACGGGAAAAACCGGGAAAAATTTTTTTCCCAACGCTGCAAATTTCTCTCAAGGGACATACACATACGAACCCCCTCCTCTCCCATCAACGACCAATTACGACCCCCCTGCCCAGCGGCTAAGAACGATCCCCATGTGTTTCACACAACGATGCTGTACCCTGCTTGCAGCGATGGTATTGAAGAAACTGCTATCATTGATGGGGGTATGTTGCATCGTTCGTATCGTTGCCCGAAAGTATTTGGAGACCCCCTCCCCCTCGTTGAACAGCGCTCAAAATTCATAAAATTATGGGAACTTAAACGATTCGCGATTACCTGTAATTGATATCGTTCTGTCAGCGTGTGCATGGCATTGTTGACGAATTCGTTCACCTGTCGGCGTTGATTGGAATGTAAAAGAAGAACAAAATAGACCAGAGCTAGCGCTTCCAAAGTTGACATCAAACATAGTGAGAATACCTGAAAGCTCTTAGGTAATCACAATCCACGTTGATCTTATGGACGGTGTCAGAGCCGCTGCTGCTTCTTCTTCATTGCTGCGCCTCCTCTTTACAAGTGTGAGGACGAAAAGCACGGAAATGAGGAAGGCACATTGGTAGGCCTGATCCCGCCCCTACGATCATCGTGGACTGTGCCTCTAACTCGTACTTTAACTACTACGTAGTTTAGTTGAAACATAGCTCAGTCAAAAAGCTTACGGCTGTTCTCGGATGCGAAACATAAACTGTACAATAGTGCACGTAACCAGGATCGGAACGGATCAGAACAGATAGGACGGCGAGAAACGATGAAATGAGCCACTGAAAGACTTTGGTTATATTGTAGTTCTATCAAAGCCAACATGATATGGAAAGTAACACTTATTCTGGGCCTAATCGGTTCTGGGAAGGAGTGGTGAACTGATGAAATACCGCCGCTTACTGGACGTCTGGTTTGAAATTCGATCTTGAATCGAATCTCTCTCATTATCAGACCAACTCAAAACTCTAGGGAACTCAACTCTAGGGAATTACAGTCAGAGTACGTCGTAAGTTGGGGATCCCCAGTGTGGGGCCGTATTCGGTCGCCGTATAGAGAGGGGAGGGATAGCCTTAGGGTAGTAATAAGGTTTTATTCGGTGACTTATTTTCCGTTTTTCCTTTCTCAAGGAGCCATAATATTTCCTATTCTCACAATCCAACCTATTCCACCGTGCTCGATGGCTACTTCGTGGAAAAAAGGAGAAGTTCCCCAAAAATAATTTCCGTTAAGTGGCAGTAAGTTGCGAACTTTTAAGAAGGTGACAGGCAGGATGCAGGATGGAGCAGGGATGGAGCAGACGGTCGTACGGGAGAAGAAAGCTCGGGGAAGGGGGGGGAGTCGTATTTTGTAAAAAGGTGCCCTGACCAAAGGCATTAGGTGTCCTGACCACAGTATATGCTCATCGTACGGGTGGACACGGCTCACTATCATTCCTTCGTCATTGACACGCCCTCTTTTTGAATCTCCCCATTGGAAGAACTGGCGCACCAATAAGAGGGGCCATCTCCGCCCACTCGAATAATGTGGACTCTGTTCTCAGTTTTTTGAAGGATGAGAACATCTATTTGTGCACACCAGTCGATACCAACAGGGGGAGTGATCAACGGCGACAACTTCACCTTTCCAATCATTCAAGGGGGTCAGTTACTTACTGAAGTCAATTAGTTACTAGTAGTTACCATTTGAAACACCTTACCTGCGCTCCAATAAGTATAATGGCCACAATTCTTGAGCCATGAACCTCGTAGGTTTTGTATTTGAGGGTTGCGATTGTTCGTTCAACAGCTAATATAAGAATTCCGCAAAGCGTTGCATAAATTGACAACACTACTGGAAACCTGAAATGGTTGAAATATCAAAATTTTGAAATATCAAAATTTTTTTCAGTATCGGCAAAAGAATTACTACTAACCTGGCAATCGCACATGATTTCGCCTCGTAGAGTGAGTTGCACGCGTTGTCCT